GTGTGTGTGTGTGTGTGTGTGTGCGTGTGTGTGCGTGTGTGCGTGTGTGTGTGTGTGTGTGTGTGTGTGTGTGTGTGTGCGTGTGTGTATTGTGTGTGTAGCGAGTGCGCGCCTCCGTCAGCGTCCTCCCACTCGTCGTTGAGGTAGAGGATGAAGGAGACCACGCGGCGCAGGCTGCAGGGGCGGGGCGGGGCGGAGGGGAAGGGGGGGGGGGGGATATATGGCGGGTGAAGGGGAAGGGGAAAGGGGTCGTAGAGAGGAAGGGAAGAGGGAGGAGGGAGGAGGGAGGAGGGAGGAGGGAGGAGGGAGGAGGGAGGAGGGGGGAGGGGGGAAGGGGGAGGGAGGAGGGGGGAGGGAGGAGGGAGGAGGGAGGAGGGCGCAGAGGGCAGAGCGAGCGAGGGAGGGAGGGAGGAGGGAGGAGAAGAGGGAGGAAGAGACCTGCCGCCGGAGATGGAGCCGCCGTCGGCTGCCCGTCGGCCTTGCCGCTGCCAGCCGCTATTCCCGCGCGGCTGGTCGAGGTGCCTACCGTACCCGAGGCGCGTCCGAGCTCCGAGGAGGTCCGAGGGGAGGAGGGCGCAGGCCGGCTGGTCGAGCTGCTACCTACAGGCGAGAGGAGGTCCAAGAACGCTTGGCGCCGACCGCAGGAGAGCCCGTCCCACCGCGGCCGGGTCGGCGCGCCGTTTGTAGTGGCCGCCGATCGGGTAGAGAAGGTAGTTGAGCTCCGTCTCGAAGGGCGCGAGCCGCGGCAGCGCCGGCAGCGCCGCAGCCTGACGGACGACGGTCGGGTGTCGGCGCTGGTCGGTGGCTAGAGTCGAACGAGTCTGGCTGGAGGAGAAGCGGCGCGGGCGAGTGAGGATGGCCGCGAGGCAGTGTTCGATGGCACACACCTCCAGCTCGCGTCGCAGTCCGTTCACCGCGCTGACGAGTCCATCGCGCTCAGTGACGGAGCCGGCGGCGTTGCGAGGCGGCGGGTAGATGCTGCACTGACGAGATCGCCGCACTTCAGTGTCGACGCGTGCCGTCCCAAAGTTGACGGAGCCTATGTACCGAGAGACGCGTCCGATCACCGAGGAGGTCCGAAAGCGGTCCAGCGCGGCTGGTCCAGGTGCGTTGCCGACGGCGGACTCAAATCCACTGTCGGCGCCGACGGCGACCGCGTCCGCCTGCAGCCTTCCGGTTTGCGCACGCGTGAGCCAGTCTGGCACGACGACGTACCTGTGGCGGTGCAGCCTCTCCAGCTCGCCTGTCCGCAGCGGCCGCGCAAGCAAGATCATGACACCAAGCTTCATTCGGCTCGAGATGAAGAAACACAGCTCGAAGGAGCAAGCCATAAACTCCTTAGACGCGGGTTACGCAGCCTCACACCTCACAGCTTGCTTTCCCGATTTCTTCTTCCTACTTCCTCCTCTCTCGCCGCCTTCTCCCGCTCCACTTTCAGAGCGAAGGGGTCGCCCGCGGCCGCTTGGGCCGCGAAGCTGCGCTCCTTGTACGGCACCTTGTTCCTGCATTCGGGCGGTGGCTTGTTCGGCACAAATCCAGGCCCCGAGCGGCCGTCGCGGCGGCGTACCCGTGGCCGCTCGTCGTGTGCTGTCCATCCGGGCCTGCGCTCGAAGGCCAGCGGATCGCGCGGCTGCGGCTTACTCGGTTGGTGGAGGCGGCGCCCCACGCCAAAGCGCTCACGGCTGCGATCAAACTCGCTCCGACGGTCTTCGCGCCCCCGGTGCTCCTCATAGTGGCGTTGATCGTCATGCCGGCGTCCTCGCCAATCGCCATGCCGGTCATCATGACGCCGATCATCATCACGCCTGTGCTGATAATCATCTCGAGGCCGCCTCTCGCTGCTTCCTGGCGCTCGACCTGGTCGCGCCGCTCCGCAGCGGAAGCAGGACATCCTCGAGGCAAATACCTTCTCCATGCCGCAAGCTGCACAAGTCCAGTCTTCGTCGGTCACGGTGGACCAGCATGCGCCTACCTTCTCGGCGTTTGACGGCTCCTCGAATAGATCCGACGGCAGCAATGCGTCCATCTCCCTCTCGCTGCGAGATTGTGTCCTGTGTGGCCACTGACCTGCCGAGATGGATCTCGAGAGGATAGCCTTGTGTGGTCACCGACCAGCCTGGGATCGATCCAGCGCTCCTGCGATCTCGAAAGCACCACGCGCTGCTGGATTTAGGACAGAAGGGGGTGGGGATGTATGTGCCAGGCTCGGACTGGAAAAAAATTGCCGCGCCGCTGGGTTCCGGCTCACCAGATATCGACAGATAGGGTGATTTGCCAAAATACAGGGGTCCGAAAAAGAAAAATCGGGCGAGATGAGCATGTCGGCACTTCTGACCTGTGTGAGCTCGGCAGGCTTCCTGCTCAGCCCGCAGCAGCTGGCGCCGCAGCAGCTGCGTGCGACCACCACCGGTGCGCGTGCACGCCCGCTCTTCGCCTCACTGCGGCGGCTTCTCTGCTTTCGTCCCTGTCTTCGCCGGGTGCTCAGGCAGTTCCTCTCCTTCCGCCTGTGTCCTCCTTAGGACCGACGGTGCTGGCCCCTTTGGTGCCCGCGGGCGCCCGCAGGGCGCTGCTCGTGGCGAAGGAGGGCGGCGGCAAGAAGAAGGCTTCCAAGGCCAAGGAAGCGCCTGCCGTGGAGGAGAAGGAGGCGCCGGCCGCTGAGAAGAAGGCGCCGCCGCCGCCGGACATGCCGCCGCCCTCTGGGTTTGAGTGGGGCCCAACCTTCTAGGAGGGACGCTCCTTCGCCTCTCTCTCTCGTCCTCGCTCTCTTCTCGCCCTCTCTCGTTCTCTCTCTCTCTCTCTCTCTCTCTCTCTCTCTCTCTCTCTCTCTCTCTCTCCGCATCAGCAATTGCTGCTCCGCTGCCGCCGGCGTGTAGCGCATGCTGTTGACACTAACCATGGTTCGGCGGGTGTGCTACGTGATGTACTTGCCATGGACTCACTGTGGCGCCGTGTGCATATTCACTGAGCTCTCGGCTCTCCGCACTCCGGCCGGGCGTCTCTCGGGGCCGCAGACGCCAGCGTGTGAGGTGTGTGCGTTTCGCTGCTCTCGCCGCGCAGCCGCATGTGGCCGACGATTTTTTGCATGCCAAATACTACATGTACATGCAACAAGAGAGAAGTACGAGAGATAGAAGAGCCCACTCTCGATCTCTCTCTTCGTCTTCGCGCGGCGCGTGTGGGGGCGGGGCCCTCCACACACGTGCACACTGCACCCCCCGGGGGCCACCTGCATCTCCGCGTCGCGCGTGTGTCACGACTCCTAGCGCGCACTCTCACATCATGTCAAGACACAGGGCTCTACTGTTCCTCTGCATGCTCCATATGAGTGTGTATGGCCATGTATGTTGTACGCGGGTGCACATGCATGTGATCAACAGACGGCGGAGCAGGAGGCAAGGTGTGCATTTACAGGTGATCACAGGACATGCTGGTAGCGGCTTCCTAGAGCCACGCCGCGTCCGCTCCTGGTAAGTTCCGTCCGTCACCATGATCACGCTCTGAGAGTTCTGGCGGGGCGTGTCCCGTTGACGCAGTTGACAGTGCAGCTAGCCGCTGCATTTCTGCCGCCGCTGTCCGTCAGACCATGATCGCGGTCGAGATGCCGCACGAGCGGAGGCGGTCGGAGGCGGCATCGCGCTTGCGCTGCTGCTGCAGAGCGTCGGCCGCGGGTGCCAGCGAGGGATCCAGGTGGCTTGCAGTCCGGAGAATGTGCGCCTCGGTGACGAGCTCGCGAGAAGGCCGCCGCCCAAGCTTGCGACCGAGCCGGTCGTGCCGGAGGCTAAGCTCGAGCTTCTCGGCCGGCCCCGCCAGACACGGCGAGACGGAGAGCGAAGTTGGCTTCATCACCCCCGCGTCGACGAGGTCCCGCAGTGACGGGCGCTCGGAGAGCTTTCGGTTGAGCACGTCCTTTGTGAGCGCGTGCTCAAGCCGGATTGAAGTGTCGGCGAGGCGCGGCGACAGCTTTGGGCTGACGGTGAGGCCCACCTCCCCGAGGCGCGAGAGCGTCGGCTGTGTCACAGTCATCTCTTTCAACCACAAATCGCCGCGTCATCATCACCTCTCACGCCTTGGCGGAAAAAATACATTATTGACGAAAGCCAGGCGTGCGTGTGTGTGTGTGTGTGTGTGGCCAGGCGAGAATAAGCCCATCGAGACGGTGAACGAAGCGGCGCAGGGTCCAAGGACAAACAAACAAGGGAGGACCCCGTGTCTACGCGGCTTGGAACGACTGCGTTCAGTGTCGAATGCTGCTCTCTCCAGGTGTCTCACCGCTCGGTGACCTCGAGGTCCAGGACCAACGTGCTCCAGACCACGGTCTGGATGCCGTGGCGACAGGCACTTGGAGGCGTGTCGCGTGTGGGCCATTGAGCTGCCAAGCTGCAGGCTGAGGCACGTGAGAGAGACCTCCGTACGCTGCTCTCCGTCGAGCTCCGCAGCGCAAGCAGCTGGGATCCCTTCTTGAATCGTTCGGTCGCTTGTACTGCGGACCCGCTTAGCTCCCTTCCCGACGCCGATCCCGGGCGATCACACACACGCGAGCACCGCGACTCTCCCGCGGCGTGCGACACAGCACACTGCCCGTCAGGTCATGACATCTAACTTACGACAACATCTGGTCGTCGGTTACACTAACGAGCGCTATGTAGCAATCTAAGCTGTGGCTCCTGAAGAGCTCCGTCGCGGGCGCCTGAATGTACAATGGCTCCGCACTCTTGCATGCGTGGGGGCCCCCTGCGACTAACGAGCTCGCTGTCCGCCACCTCTCCATACGCGAGTCAGAATGCCCCGGAGCGGGGCATGGCGCGCGTCTCGGCCTCTTCAAAGGTGCGCGGCAGCACTCCGAAACGGGGGTAGATCATGAGGGGCGACGGGTCGTCCGCCTCCGGCACCGCCTCCAGGGCCAGACTGAGCTCGGCGGGCTCGTCGCGAGCCACATCCTCCTCCCGGGACTCCCCGGCCTGGCGCCGCCGCTTGATGATAGGCGGACGATGCGGCTCCTCCTCCGGCGGGCCAGATCGGTAGGCTTGGGGACTGGCATCTCTGCCTTGCCAGGCAAAGCGGGGCCAGAGCGCAAGTGGGGCGAGTGCTTGGAGAGGTGATGGATGTGCGGGTGCGGGGCTGCTGAGTGCCGCGATCTGCTGCTCTCCCTCTCCACTGCGATGAGTCGCACCGTCCGGCTGTTTTGCCGACATGACGCGGAGGTTCGCGGCTGGTCCTATAGCGTGCTTCGCAGGTGCCGACCACCGCGGCAACTTCTGACCACTGACTGGTGACCAGCTGACCCCCCTTGAGACCCCCCCGCGAACCCGTTCCGATATTCGACAGATGATATCTGGAAGTGGGAAGGTGTCCGTTTCAAGTGAGTTAATGTGGCAGCAGACCCACTCTCGAGACTCGGATGGGTGCTTGCACGTACTTTTAGCTTACTTACTGGGAGAAACGAGGGAGAGGGGGTTGTGTTCTCTAGGCCCCTAAGGGCCCTACGCGCGGCGTGAGATCTCTCTCTGCTTCTACCCGCGGGCCTAGATTCACAGACCTTGTTATTGAGAAGAAAATACGTCCTATGGCGCTTTGCGCTGGTATATGAGAGGTTGAGGTGCGAGCCCTGGAGGCCCTGGGGATGGGGGGAGACTACCCGCGGGCCTAGAAGGCCCGCGCGCAGGGGGGTGGGACATTGAGATTGAACATTCTGTTTCACAGACCTTGTTATTGACAAGAAAATACGTCCTATGTTCACAGCCTTGTTATTGAGAAGAAAATACCTCCTATGGCGCTGTGCGCTGGTCTGTGAGAGGTTGAGGTGCGAGCCCTGGAGGCCCTGGGGATGGGGTGAGACTACCCGCGGGCCTAGAAGGCCCGCGCGTTCACACAGGTGCGCACCACGCTCAAGTTTGCCGGCTCTTGGGGTGCGATGCCGTTCCGCCTCGCGCACAGCAGTATGGGTCGACGGCGTGGAGAGGTCCAACCCACTCCGGAGGCCGGCGAGGAGGGTCGCGTACAGGTGCGAAGGTTGACGCCTGACGAAGCAGCCAAGAAGGCCGACGAAGCAGCCAAGAAGGCGCGGCGCTGCGCCGGCCGGACACCACTGTGACGTCCGTTCCGGGCATTTGAACGCGACCTTCGGGGGCAAAGACATGGGCTCTATGGCTCAGACTGGACTCCTCTTGGTCCCTTCTGATGCCCTAGGCCACACCTGGGCCTTACCTGGGGTCCTAGGGGCCGGGCAGGGTTTGCCCCCCTAAAGGGGCCCGAAGAACCTTAATGGACAATTCAATGTGTGAGTGTTTGCGAACAGAGGCACGTGTGCTAATTCTAGGCCGCACGTCGTGGCACTATGACGAAGGTAGACGTGCGGCTGCAGCGCGCCCGCCGCAGGCTCGGCGGTGCGCGCGTGTTAGCGATAAAGTTGCGGGTAGAGCCGTTCCCGACTTGTCGAATGCGAGGCCTCTGCGACGAGTGCCAGTCGCGCTGCGGAGCCACGCCCTTCGAGCCGCGTCCCGTCGGCCCTACCCTCGAGCGCGTGTCGCCTTGGTTGGCGACACCCACTTGTCGAGGGCAGTCCGGCCGACGGGAGCCTGTCGCGCGCCGGCGACGAATGCGGCGTGTGTCGGTGGTTTCGAGTTCGAAGCGACGATGGCACGACCACCGCCCTGCTTCCTGACCGGACAAGGAGGGGCCTACTCCCGTTCCGCGAGGAACAGGAGGTCTCCCCCCCTCCCCCGGCCCGAGCAGCGACGGGTGGACGCAGGACGGCAGCCCCTTCGGGGTTAGCAGGCGAGAGTCTGCGGGGCTCACGAGCCGAGTCTCAGCCACACGCCCCCCGCGCCTGTACTCCACCAAGTCAAGGTGAAAAGATCTTATCAGCCAGGCGGGCAGGCCAGGCGGGCTCATCCTCCCTGGCTCAACCTCTAAAAAAGAATTTTACTATCCAAAAAGAAAATCCGCGGCGAGCCGGCGATCCTGGTCTTTCCGAAGACGAGCCCCGCGCCACGGGTGCCAGCCGTGCCTCCGCGGGAGTCGCCCTTCGAGCCGCGTCCCGTCGAGCCACTGCTCACCGCAAAAGAAAAAGAACTCTTAACCCTAGTAGGTGGATAGTGTCGCTGTTTTCGAAAGGCGCTGACGGCCCGGCGCGTACCGCGCGACGCCCGGGCTACCCACCAGTGAAAGGCCTATACCAACCCTTCAAAATGACCTACTAACTTTGGTACACTCTCACTTTGATATTTCCCGCGGTGCACACTCAAAGTCCGGAAATCTCACAGACGCGCGCGTTTTGGCCGGCTACCCCATCGGGTCGCACGGAGACACGGGAAGGCTGCCGCAAGCCGCCTCCGGGTGCAGGGGCCCGACGCGGTAGGCGGGGGCAACAGCCCGGTAGCTGGCCGCGCCTCTCCGCCCCGCCCGTCGCCGCTGCACCCCTTGCCGCGGCCCTCGTCGCTGCTGCAGCGACGACAGCCGCGGCACGAGGTCAGAACGCGGCCTCGGAGAGCTCGAGCGAAGGCGCCGACGGTGGCGGCCGTGGTAGTGGTTGATGGTAGAAGGCTCCTGAGCCGTCGGGCACCACGCTCGACGTCGCCGAGGAGCCGCACCCGGCGCGAGCGCCTGCGCGTCGGCGGGTGCCACCGAAGGCGGGTGGGCAGCACCGGGCGGGGCGGCGGAGCTTCTCGAGGCGCGCACGTGCCCCGCGGGTCGTGCGCCGAGGCAGACGGCCGAAGAACCGGTGGAGTATCGCGCCCTCCTTCGCCGTGCCGCGTGTGCGCTGCGCCCGCTCGAGAGGCCGTCGAGAGCAGCGCGGCGCAGCCGATCCGGGCGATGAGCGTGCGCGGAACCGACCGGACCCGTCAATGTCCACTATGCGGGCATGGCCAGGCCGGCGCGGTTTGGTCTGGCGACCTACAGGGCGCGCACCGCGGTTGTGTCAACGCGAGATTCCGCGAGACCGCCTGTCTGACAGGTTATCCACCCACTAGGGTTAAAAGACAAAAAAAAATAGCGCGTCAAGCAAACTCACGGCGATGCTGGCCCACATCCAGGGCCTCCGGCAGCGGCGGCGACGCGACCGCGACGGGCGCCAGTCCTCGAGCCGATCCGACCCGAGCTCCTCGGGCAGCCAACGCGGCAATGAGGCGGCCACGGCTGCGGCGGCCGCGGCGGGTGCTCCCCTTCACACGGCAACGACTGCGCACGGCGGGCCGCTCGACACGGACTGGGCGGACGAGCAGTCGTCGCAATGGACGCTGCGGATCGTCACCGGCCGCGAAACCGGTTCCAAACGCGGCCGCAGCGAGGACGCGTGCGGCAGCCAGCCGGCGGGCGGCGGCGGCTGACGACGCGCCGGCTGCTTGCAGCGTCGGACTGTCCGGAGCCTCGTCTTCCTCTCCCGCTACTGCGCTGCAGACGTTTTTTGGTAACCCGGCGGAGGAGGCCGCGCCTGCTGCTGCTGCAGATGACGTCGAGACGATTCCGCTCGAAGATTTGATTGGCGCGCCCAGATCATCCCGAGATGCTCCGAGATCCGCCGTCCTTGGGCGGGGTCCGTGTCGGGTCCGTCTCTGACGCGACACTCCTCTCGTCCCTTTTGAACGCAAGCTCGCTCGAGGACGAGCCGGTCAGCGGCTCCGCGAGGCACCGGGGGAAGGGGGGGGGGGGGCCCTTTTTGGGGGGGGGCCCCCCCCCCCCCCTTTCCGGGGAAATTCCCCCTCCCAAGGGGGGATTGCCCCCTTTTTTTATAAATAAGGGGTTTTTTTGGGCCCCCCCCCCCCCCCCCCCCCTTTTCAAAAGAAAGCAAGCCCAAATGGGGGGGCACAAGGGTGGGGGCCCCTCCGTTTCCCACTTTTGCCCTTGCCCTCGCTCCCGCTCCTCCTCAAAGGGGCCCCCCCCCCCCCCCATCCCCCCCCCCCCCCCCCACACCCACACCCACCCACCCACCCACCCACCACGACAGGACACCGTGCGGTGGAGAGGCGACCCGTGCATCATCCTGCCGCACGCGCTCTGGCGGCCGAGTGTCGAGCCGCTCCTCCGCTGCATCTACTCGCCCGACGCCACAGAGTACTTTGTCGAGACGCTGCTCCTGCGCCGCTCGTTGCCAGAGGCGCCCGCCCGGCGGCCGGAGGAATAGCTCGTTTGAGCGCGGCGGCTGTTATGGTCGGCGCGTTCGCTCTCAGGCGCTCGGCGTCGCGCACTGCGCCCTGTACTTCGACGTCGGCGGCCCCTTCTTTGCAACCTTCTACCGCAAGGTCGCGTCCCGCCGCTCCCTCCTCTGCCGTTCCGCGCCGCCGGTCGGCGCGAGCGGCGGCGGCAGCCGCGGCGGCGGCGGCGGCAGCGGGGCCGGCGCCGCGAGCGCCGACGTCGACAGCGACGAGTTCCTCTTCTCGCCGCTGCACGATGCCGAGGTGCCATCTCCCCATCTCTCCCCACCTCTCCCCATCCCTCCCCATCTCTCCCCATCTCTCCCCATCTCTCCCCACCTCTCCCCATCTCTCCCCATCTCTCCCCATCTCTCCCTACATCTCCCCACATCTCGGCGCCGACCTGCCATCTCCCCACCTCTCCCCCCCCTCTCCCCACATCTCCCCACGTCTCGGCGCCGACCTGCCATCTCCCCACCTCTCCCCACCTCTCCCCACATCTCGGCGCCGACCTGCCATCTCCCCACATCTCCCCACATCTCCCCACATCTCGGCGCCGACCTGCCATCTCCACATCTCCCCCCCTCTCCTCCAAAGGTGTCCTGGCACTCGCTGCCGCTCGAGCACGCGCTGCTCTGGCTGCACGCGCTCGACCTCTCGCCCCCCGCGACTCTTGCAAACGTGACGGGCCCTAGA